AGTTGATCCTTGAACATCTTGGTGACCACACCTTTGATATGTTGCCCCTGTGTTTTTCAACCCGAATGGCATGACTTTGTAATAGTGTGTTCCCTGATGGGTGATGAAAGTAGTCTTTTCCTGGTCCTCCTCCTCCATGAGGATTTGGTTGTAACCTGAGTAGGCGTCCAAGAAGCTTAACAATTTGTGCCCCGCTGTTGCATCGTTGAGTTGATCAATGTGAGGCAATGAAAAGGAGTCTTTTAGGCATGCCTTATTCAGGTCTATGAAATCCACGCACATCCGCCACTTCCCGTTTTTCTTTTTTACCATGACCACATTGGCAACCCATTGGGGGTATTTTGACTCCTGGATGGAACCATTGGCGAGTAGCTTGTCCACCTCATCACTGACGGCCTCATTGATTGCGGTGTTGAATTTCCTTCTTACTTGCCGCACTGGGGGTAGAGTGGGTCGAGGTTCAACTTATGTGTGGCAATGTCTTTCGGGATTCCTGGCATATCTGCATGGGAGAAAGCGAACAAATCTGCATTGTCAATCAAAAATTTATGAAATTTACCTGGTTCTAAGAGTTTATGTCTGATGTAAGCCTTTTTGCTATTGTTACTGCTGTCCAGTTGGATGGGATTGAGGTCTTCTACCGTTGATTCTATGGCTTCCACGATGTCGGGGTCCCTGATGACGTCTATTTGTGCGTCGAGTCCGATCCCCGACTTTGGTAATTGCTACGCTTCTGAGTCTGTTCCCTTTAGCTGTTCAGTGTATGTGCAATCCTAAGCGATACGATAGCATTCTTGGGAAGTGTGTTGTTCGCCTCGGATGCTGAATATCCCCCATGAAGTAGGGAACTTGATCACTTGATACAAGCTTGATGGGATGACCCTCATGGCGTGTATCCATGGTTGCCCTAAGATGGCATTGTAAGTTGTGTCCTGGTTCATGACATGGAACATTGTTTCTAGGGTGACCCTCCGGCCAGGACGGGTAGCGCTATCTCCCTTGAGGTTCGCTCAACTGCATTGTTAAAACTTGTTAGTGTTATGCAACATGGTACTATCTTGTCTTCGAGTCTCATTTGTGTGAGAACTCGAGGATGGATAATACACGCGCCACTTCCGTCGTCTACCATTATTCTTTTCACATCAGTATCTAAAATACGTAAAGTAATAACAAGAGCATCGAAATGAGGGAAAGTTAAACCATCGGTATCTGACTTATTGAAGATGATACTGTCTCCGAGGTCGTCACACCGTTCGTGGGAGATCGACCGCTTCAGTTTGTGTGTGGTGGTGAACTTCACGTGGTTGATCGCTGCTTCATCGCCCCCGCTGATGATCATTTGGATGGTGTGAGCGGGGGAGGGTGGCTTTGGAGGGCCCTGGTGTTGCTCACGTCCGCGACCGAAGTTGGCTCGTCCACGATCGCTCATCAGCTCCCTCAGGTGCCCTTGGTTCAGCATGTTTACTACCTCTTGCCGTAGGGCTATGCAGTCCTCGGTTTTGTGACCTCGCTCCTGATGAAATTCACAGAAGACGTTCAACTTTTGGGTATTTGGGTCGGACTTCATTTTTTGTGGCCACTTTACCTTTGTGCCCAGCTTCTCTAGTGCGTACACTATTTCTGAAGGGGAAACACAAAAATTGTAAGCAGATAAGAGTGGAGGCATACCTCTTTCGTTTCGGTAAGTCCCTACATGTGGCCTGGACGGCCCTTCCACGTGCCGAGGAGACGGTGGGACGGCTATTCTGATGTAGAGTTGATGCCTTTCTTGGTTGAGGTGGGGAACTGACTGATCTCTTCGACCATTGTTACGACGATCTTTTCTCGACCTCGTTTGGACTGATGTTAATCGTTGGGTTGAACCGTTAAGGTCGTCCTCGTCTGCTCTCACCTCGGCGCAGTATGCGTTGTGGATTTCTTCCCAAGTGGTGGGAGGGTATTTCATGAGCCTGCTTAATAACTTTCTGGTTGCTCTCGACCAGTTCCTGTTCAACCCTTTTTGGAAAGCTACCACCGCCATTCCTTCTGATACATTTGATAGGCTCATTCTTACTCTGTCAAACCGGGTGAGGAAGTCCCTGAGTCCCTCGCCAGGCGATTGCCTAACGGCGAATATATCATTCACCCTAGCCTCCGCCTTTTTAGCCCCGGCATGGGCGGTGACGAACTTGTCGGCCATTTCTTCGAATATTGTTATTGACTGTGCCAGTAATTGTGAATACCNGCCTTTCGCCGTTGTAACGTAATGAATGATGTGATTTTCGGGGTCTGTAGTACCATCGTATATCTTCAAGTACAATGGAATTTTAAAGATCTTGTGTATGGCATGTGGAGCCACCTACTCGCTGTACGGTTGTTCGACGACCAACATCCAGTTTTGGTAGCAGCTTTGGGGCGCTGGTATCTTATCGACCCTTTCTTGATGTTCCCTCATCTGGTCGCGGAGTGCTTTGTTCTCATTTTCCATTTCTTCCATTTTCTTTAAAATGACTGCAAGTGCGTCATTATTACCTGCATCAACAGTGGTGTAAGTGGGTTATTTGCCGGTGGTTGTTGTGGTATCTGCTTGCGTGGTGTTTCTATTCTCCCTTTGAACGGATTTGTCAAGTATGTTGTTTAAAGTGCTTGTCAACCACTCTTCCAGTAATTTTTTCACTGGTGGTGGTGCTTCCTTAGATGTAGACGTGAAAGCTCCCCTCTCGTGAAGTGGTTACACTTTCATGAGGAGGAGGTGAATCACTCTGCCTGGGTGTAGCGCTTGGCGTCACATTCTCATTATCTTCCCTGCCATCTTCGTTGATGGTGTTCAAAATGTTGGTAGTGGCGCCTGCTATTACTTTCTGTCTTGCATCTCCTTTTCCTGCCATCGTTAGTTTGTGCAAACGAAAAAGAGATGGTTGTTTTTTTTTCATCTAGAAGGAACTAAAATTTCAACTAAAACCTCCCCACATACGGCGCTAAATTGTTCAACCAAAAAAGTGTTGAAGCTTTTAGTTAAACTAAGTAATGATGAGATATAGGGTGAATCTTAGTTAAAGATAATAAATTCTAGATCAAATGTGTTGAGAAATCGATCTAGTGCACGACGTTTGATGGCGTTAAAGAGCACGTTTATATTCAGTGAATGTTAATAATGTGATAACATAAATATGTAATGAATGTAGAAGATGTCAATAAATGTAATAAGAAGGAATCTACTACCCAATTATTGTATGATTTGGATGGTTCCTTCCCCTGACAACGACATGGAAATACAAGAAGTGGAGATGGTTATGGAATCTTTGGATCTTGTGGATCAAGATTGAGTAATATGCACCTGAATAATACAATCAATGAACAAGACAACTTTTTGTATATTCTCTTGAGTCAACCTTTTACAATGTTTTTTTCTTAGAAAGTGAAGTCCCTTTTTGTTCTCTATCTCTTACTATTTATAGGGATATTCCCAAGAAACCCTAAAAAATACAATATAAGGAATATCCAAGGGAATATTTCTGGTGTCCTTTTCTAATCTTGTCCTATTGTTACAATTGCAACTCTAGTTACTCGTCCTCAGCAATGATCCTTACGAGGGCGACCCCTTTATTATAATGCCGTGGTCGACCCTATTCTCGATACGACTTATCTGTACCGAGTTGCCAAATTTTGACCAATACATGTACGTATTCATAGTTTTCTTGCCTACAATGACTTTGTTTTCATGTGTCCAGGGTGAAAGCTAACTCACGGGGAGAAGCTACTCAGTCAACACGCTTCCAATGCTAGTCAAATGATGTTTGTGAAAACGCACGTTTTATGTTTTTTATTGTTAGAAAAAGGTTAATACCTTGTACATAGTCAAACAATATATTGCCTTCTGTTTCCTACTAGTTATAGTGGGGTTTCGTGTCTAGTTAAGAACGGTTATGCCAAAGTCATATAGAATTAGTAAGTATATTATTAAAAAAAAAAGAAGGCATGTTTTAGTTTACTCAAAACTAGAGCTAATGTCTTTATTTTCTAATAAACCTATTCGTCCGACTAATTTGGACTTTGAAGTCCTCCCAAGTAGGCCCCACTGAGGGGATACAACGCTCCTTGTTGTAACATCTTTTATTTTGTCCTGAGATCTCTCTGATTAAAAGCATACAGATCGCAACTATGTTCCACGCGCCTCAGTGGTAAAACTAGATCTAATGTTGGCTCTCTTACATAAGAGATTTTTTCTTTTGAAGAAGCAAATAGTGAAAGAGGAGTCACAGGGTCTCTCTCCCCTGAAATAATAGCTTGCCGGCCTTCCAAAAGATACTCCACAGGAACACTAAACAATTCATCATTGCCGGTTAATCTTCAAATGTATATTCAATTAACTTTGACTCAAAATGTAAGAATTTTAATCTATTAATGCACTACACAAGTGATTCGGCATATTCTTCTTGCCTCTTTATTAAAATAGGCTAACTTGCTAAACACTGACGTATCAAGTATGGAGCTCTAGCTCTTGCTATAAGAATATTTGGTGCACCTTTTGTACGATGACGTCGTGTAACATTATATAACTATTCAAAAAAATTAAAGTGGCCGCTGCCTAGCTACCTTTTGTATTAGACTTAATAATGACTCTCTTCATTTTTATATGTCACTGTTACTATTTGATGAGTAAATTGTTGGATTATATATCGCAGCGGAAACAATCACAGTATCTTATTCACGTGTAAATTAAACAATTAGTATATACGGAGATTATATGAGTTACCTCTTAAAGCGTGAACAAAGCAAATCGTTATCCTTCTCCAGTTCTAGAATTGCAAGACCTAAGCAACCTTCTACAGTCTTCTACTGTGTTACCTAAATAAAAACCGGAAATAGAGAACTTCGGGTGGGCGAAATTCAAGAAAGAAAAATGTGTTGTTTTTCAGTGCAAAAAACGGCCAGCTATATACCATGTATATATAGCTACATTTTTTAGGTCAAACCATTTTCCAAAACCTGTTAGGTTTTCTTCTTCTACTAAGGAAAGATTTCCTTTATTTCCTTTTCAGGCACAGTAGGGACCACAAAATTTAATTAACAAGGCTTCCTATTATGGAATTAATTTCAAAATTTTGAAATTAATTTCTACCATAATAAATTACGAATTATTCCACTAAAAATTCGTAATTGTACTCCTTAGTTCAATTTCGAAATTCTTCCACAAAAACTTATTTAACTCCTCATGTTAAGATTCAGATACTAACCAATCAAATTAAATTACTGACAATTTAATTTATTGATTACTTCCTTTAGACTTTCACTTAACTTATTTCATGTGTCGGATACAAAATTCACTGGCCGAGTTTACACGTGAAAACTTATAAGCTTTCATAAAGGAGTATCATCAATCTCAAAAAATCGAGACATGGATTCTATCAACTAATTATCACTTCGCCAATGTATATCATTATTGTCCAACTTACCAGGCTTATTGACCCATGAAAGAATCTTGCCTTTTAATAAATCAAAACAATAAATGATATACACAACTAATAATAATTATATCAAGATTAAGAGTATAAGTACATTAAATGAATTAGAGAAATTATTTTATTAGTCAGTATAAAATACCTATCTCTACTTGATCCGTTCAATACATACAAAATATACTAGCACAAGAAGTTAGAATTAGACCATTCCCATAATCAAGATAAATTATATTTAATCTTGTGCTACAACCATTCCGATAGCTTGTCCAATTCAATCATTAGGTTGTGAACATAAACTTTATGACTTATAAGAACCGACGATTTAATCTTCCGTATATAAGCTAGACTCTATACACTAAATCATCTACTATATAAGTAACAGACACACAAACAAATACATGATCTATTTAAAATAAAACTTTATTGAATTGAATAAATAAATAAATAATTATTCCATAAAGAATACTATAACAATACGCATGGTTTATAGTATATCTTAACAATCTCCCACTTAGACTCATAACCATGCGTCTACAATTCTGACACCCATTCCGTCTACATGCCTATCAAAAATCTTTTGTAGTAAGCTCTTAGTAAACGGGTCCGCCAAGTTGTTCTCCGACGCAATCTTGGTGACTACTACATCCCCTCTTTGCACTATCTCACGAATTAAATGATATTTACGCTCAATGTGCTTTGCTCTTTTATGGCTTCGCGACTGCTTTGAATTTGCAACCATACCACTATTATCACAATAAAGTGTTATTGGTGCTTGAATCGAGGGAACCACATTCTATTCTCTTAGGAAGTTCTCAAGCCAAATCGCCTCTTTGGCTGCCTCAGAGGCAGCCACATATTCGTCTTCCATGGTGGAATCAGCAATACAAGTTTGCTTGATGCTCCTCCAACTTATGGCTCCACCTCCCAGAGTTAACACATTTCCCGAGGTAGACTTTCTAGAATCTTTATCTGATTGGAAATCTGAATTAGTGTACCCAATAGGCACAAGTTCATCCGAGTGGTAGACTAGCATGTAATCCCTAGTCCTTTTCAGGTACTTGATTATATGCTTAACCGTTGTCCAATGCTCTCTTCCAGGATTAGACTGAAATCTGCTAACAACGCCAACGACAAAGCAGATATCAGGTCTAGTACATAACATAACATACATCAGACTCCCCATAGCAGATGCATAGGGGACCGCTTTCATCTTTTCTATCTCTCCATTAGTTTTAGGAGACTGATCTTTAGATAGAGAAACTCCATGCCTGAAAGGGAGAAATCCTTTCTTGGAATCATGCATGCTAAACCTGGAGAGTATTGTATCAATATAAAAAGCATGGGATAAGCCTAATATCCTTTTCTTGCGATTTAGCAAGAACTTGATCCCAAGGATATGAGCCGCTTCTCCCAAATCTTTCATATCGAAGTGCGTGGACTACCATTGTTTGATTGAATCCAACATACCCACATTATTTTCTATGAGCAATATGTCATCTACATACAAGATTAAAAACGCCACTTTGTCCCCATCCTATTTTTTGTATATACAAGACTTGTTAAGGCACTGATCAAAACCAAAAGTTTTAATCGCCTTGTCAAAACAAGTGTTTCATGCCCTAGATGCCTGTTTTAGTCCATAAATGGACCTTTTAAACTTACACAACATGTGTTCCTTGCCACTTTCCACGAAACCGTTTAGTTGCATCATATAGATACACTCATCAAGACTTCCATTAAGGAAAGCTGTCTTGACATCCATTTGCCAAATCTCATAATCATAATGAGCATCAATAGATAAGAGAATCCTTATAGACTTAATCATGGCTACTAGCGAGAAAGTTTCCTCATAATCGATCACTTCTTTCTGAGTAAACTCTTTCGCTACAAGCCTTGCCTTAAAAGTTTGTACATTTCCGTATACACCTCTCTTTTTCTTATAGATCAATTTTTATCCAATGGGTTTATCCCCATCAGCTGGTTCTACAAGATCCCAGACTTGATTAGAGTACATAGACACCATCTCTGATTTCATAGCAGCAACCCACTTATCGGCATCTTTATCATGTAGTGCTTGGTCATAATTGATAGGTTCGGAGGTAGGCTCCTCAGGGATCCTATCATATGATTCTCCTAAGAGCATATAACAAACGGTCTGTCTAATTTCTCTCTCACTACGACTACGCAGTACATCAGTTACAACTACATCATTTTGATTTTGTGGTTGAACCACATCATCATTAGGAACCTGAGTCTCCATGCTATCCACAGGGATATCAACGACTTCTTCCTGTTGTGCAGTCTGCTCAACATGACTTCCATTACTTTGTGGTAGTATGACTTCAAGCACTTGTTCTTGCAGGACATTAAGTCTATTGACATTTTTCCCACTACTAAAATGCAATGGTATGTCAAAATCGACTTTC